TTCAATAATTAGCATCTACTGTGAGCACCCATGGCTACACATTATGAAATAAAATGATGACCCAGCTCCTACCTTCAATAATTTGCAACTAAAGCAACAATGAAATAACACAAATGAATCCATAAGGAAAGAGGTGCTGAAACATTGATTCATCCTTTAATTCACCAAATACTTATTCAGCACTACTAACACCTAGTAATGGATTAAAGAATGTGTTAAAGGGAGATAAATAATATTTATTATGTGCTTTCTAATCATTATTTCATCTATCTTAGAACTCAAGCTTTTATTTTTTGGATCACAGAATTTTGAGAACTGGAATTTCAAGAGACTGACAGACTTCATGAAGTCCAATCAAAGATTCTCCGAAGATTTCACATGGAAAAACTCCAGAAGAGTTTCTGTGACATCCAAGTTAAGCATGAAAGCCTGAGTAGAATGTTAATAGGAAGAGGCAGAAAAGGGAGTTTTTCAGACTGAAGATTAAATAGGTATACGAAAATGCTAACAATAAACAAATAGTTACTGAATATACATTACCTTTCAGTTAAAACACTAGAGCCTGTGAATAAGAAAGTTTCACTTCTCTGATGACACACTAACAGCGTTAGGATATTCACTGAGCAAATATCTGTTTCTAACAAATATTACATAAAAAGAACTAACTTACCAGTACCATATGGCCCTGGATATATAATAGAAAATGAAATGATCTGAGCCTAAAAGAATTTACTAAGAGAGACAAAACATTTTCAGCAATTCATAGCATGATGAAGAAAAGGAAAGTGTCCTAAGGAGCCAAAAGAAGGAGCATACACTGTAACTCTGACAAATATGTGAGAACTATTCAGGTGTGGTGGCACATGCCTGTAGTCCCAGCACTCTGGGAGGCTGAGCCAGGAGCATCAGAAGTTCAAGCCTAGCCTGAGCAACTGAGCAACTTTAGCAAGACCCTATCTCAAAATAAAAAATAAAAATGAACTGAAAAAAAAATAAACTGGAGATGTAGCTCCGAGGTAGAAGGCCCTTGTGTTCAACCCCTGGTATAACCAAAAACAAAAACAAATAAACGAACACACACACACACACACAAAGCAAAAAGTATCAAGTTGATCTTGAATCCCAAAGTCCATGGCTTTATTCCATGGAAGCTAAAGCAAGTTTAGTTCTGCTGTGCTATTGTAGAGTGATGATAGATAATGATAACATAGCATATATTTCAAAAAAACTAGAAAAGAATTATGAATGTTTCACCACAAATGTTTGAGGTGATGGATATGTTAATTACCTTGATTTGATCATTATACAACATATCAAAAAAAACTCATAGTACCCCATAAATATGGACTTGGCGGGGGGCGGGGGGATGTTATGCTAATTTTTTGCAATGCTGGGGAATGAATCCAGAGCTTCATGCATGGTAGGCAAGTGCTCAACCACTGAACTTTGTCTGTTTTTAAAATTTTAAGACCAGTGCTCAGAAAATTCCCCAGGCTGGCCTCAAATTTGCAATCCTCCTGCCTCAGTCTCATAAGTATTTGGGATTACAGCATGCACCATGCACCCTGTACAAAAGACTAAAAAATTTAAAATGACATTATCATTTAACGATATGTGTCTAGCACTTACCATAAGCCAAGTAGGCAATAAGTTCTAATCATTTTTAGAATGCAGAATATATTAGAGTTCGCAATTAAGATATTACAACAACCAGGACTAAAGTTTATAAATGCTGAAGTAAGTTTAGCGAGAGAGGGAATAAAGTATTGAAAGATGGTGGAAAGGTTGAATCACCAAACCGAAACAAACAACTAGCTCAGAAGGTCAAGGGATGGGCCAGGGATTTAGCTCAGAGGCACAGTGCCTGCCTGGCAAACGTGGGACTCTGAGTTCCATCTCCAGTACCAAAAAAAAAAGAAGGTCAAGGGAGTGGGAGAAGGCAAAGACCATGGATGCTTTTTCAAGGTTGATGACAAAAAGAAAAGAGACTGGGAGAGGCATATTTCAAAGAAGAAATAATGGATTCCATTTTAATGATACAGTCACCCACTGACCTTTGGAGATCTAACCTCTGCATCTTGGTCAGAACTTATTCCTCAATACCACCATAATATATAAAGTGTAATGAGCACTGTTTATTCCACGTGATAAGAAATGGGGAAAAAGGCACTTACTATATCAATGAATAGAATCCATCCAGCCTCATAACACATCCAACTGAAAGTTCTGCCTTTTCAAAATCTTAAATTCTTGCAAATTAGTCATTCATTCAATAATTACTTAGCATCTACTGTGAGCACCCATGGCTACACATTTCAAGATCAGTAATAAACTACAAAAATCAGAATTACTAAAAACACAAATGCTGTGGGGCATAGTGGCACATGCCTATAGTTCCAGCACTCAGGAGGCTAAAGCAGGAGGATTGCCACAAGTTCAAAGCCAGCCTTGGCTACATAGTGAGACTCATCTCATTAAACACACACACACACACACACACACACACACACACAAATGCTGAGACTGTGGTAGAAATGTTAAACACAAAATATGTTTAAGGAAAGAGGTCAGGTCTGAAGACTCAGATGACTCAAGGAGATTCTGCAACACAATGCCATGATTAGAGTACTACTGATCCTTATTCTACATCCTAAATACTTGCCATGAGTATAGCCATAGTTTGGAGACAATGAGGACTAGGGAACAAATATCAGATTTAGTCATACAAAGATCCCCAGAACAACTACAGATTTCTCTATGTAACTCACAATGAAGCTTTTCACAAGTAACCATGCATTATATTTTAATTTGAAAAGCAAGTTTTATTATTCATCACAGCATATTTGCACAATGGAAAAATACACAACAATGAAAAAGAACAATGCATTTCTATAAAAAACAATGTGGAAGAGGTTCACAGACATGGTTTAAATGAAAGAATTTAGAACATAAGAGTATAAACTGTATGATTACATTTATGTGAAGTATTAGCTCACTTTATAGTGATAGAGGTGGTAAGAGGAGGAAAGTAGTAGTAACTGGGAGAAAGCACATGATAGCATTCTAGAGTACTAGAGATATTCTCCATCTTGATTTGAGCAATGGTCATATGGGTATATCTGTTCTATAAAAATTCATGGGCTCCGGCCAGGGATTTAGCTCAGTGGTTCCACCGCCTGCCTCACAAGCACAAGGTCCCAAGTTCAATCCCCAATACCAAAAAAAAAAAAAAAAATTCATTGGCTGAATGAAACTTTGATTTCTTGTAAGTCAAACCTCAACAAAAATGTAAACCAGCTGAGGCCCTAGGTTTAATCCCCAGTATTCCCTTCCAAAAAGACTAAAACAAACAAGTTAGTGACACTCTCAAACACACCAGTTTTTAAAAAGTATTAAGTGTACAAGACAAACTATATTAGGAATGTATACAAGATGAGGAAATTGAGATGACTACAGAATTATTTTTAAGACACAGATAAAGCAAAAAATATAGTAGGAAAATATGTTGCTTTATTTTTGAGATATAAGACAAAAAATACTTAACAAAGGTCTTTAGCAGATGAGAGGGGATGAAATCAAGGATAAAAGTGCAGCAATCAGCCTTAGAGAAAATACTACTTTCTCAGACTGAAGCTAAGAATGAGTGAAAGCAGAAATTCTTAGAGAAGAGGGAAGAGAGAAGTAACCTTGAACTCTTCACTGAAGCATGCAATAAGGTCAACTGCATCAGGCAAACTAAGTCAGGAAAAGGTCTAAACTTGGAAGTACATTTTAAAAATTATGAATAAGGGGCCGAGGACTTAGCTCAGTGGTTCCACCACCTGCCTCACAAGTGCAAGGACCAGAGTTTGATCCCCGGTACCAAAAAAAAAAAAATTATGAATAAGAAATAAAAAGGTGGATGGAAGGGGATTATAGCAACAGGATAATGCTCAACTCCCTGGAAGCAATGACAGAGATAGTCAATGGTGCACTCTACTCAGTGAAAAAATATGGAAAAAAAGGCAGAAAAAAAATCCAAGGGCTATCATGTGAGTCACTGAAACTATATTATAATGATGTCTAAGGAAGAATAATTACCTGAGGGGAAAAAAGCAGTCTTGAAAGACTTGAAGATGAGGTCACTAGGGCCTGGAGTGAAGCTGTCCAAAAGGAAAGCTGTTACTAGAGTTAATTACCACAGAAATTTTTCTGTAAATCCAACAAAATCAAGAATTACATATTCTCCTTTCACTGAACTTCCTACAGCTACCAGTGGCAGCTTTTCCCTACTCATAAATACAGCTACTATTATCTAATAAATTATATAAACACATCCTGTCCATTCAGAAACCCCACGAAATATTTTCACAGTGCTTTTCACTTGTGTTTTCCCGTTAAAAAAATTAGAAAGCAGTGGTAAACTAGAAGGCAGACCCTACATCTATGAATTCTCTGTTCACAGAATAGACACTAGGATTTTAGAACCCACACAGGTGTTTTAAAAACTGGTTTCTCGTTAAGTAGATAGTTCTCAGAATATTAACAATGATTCTGAACACTCTAGAATAAAAGTACGATACCAAACCAGAATGCTTAGAAATGCCCCCATTTTTATAATTGTGAAGACAATGTCTAAGAAATAACAGAACATTCTATCAAACGGACATACCTATTACACTACTTACCCTCTCTGGATAATACCCCTGTAGTAAACCCACCTTTTGCAACTCAATTCACCCACCCATGCCACATTCCAGCCCTTCTTCCCCATCCAAAACCACTAGGTCCATTATTTCATTCCTCTACTCCCCCATTTCCAATTCAACCGCAGGACACCTTGTCCACTTCTCCACTCATTTTCTTGCTTCTCCAGATCTCTTATTCCTCTGCCCAAACTACTCAGTCCCCACCCCTTAAAACGCTCCCGCCCGGGTCGGCCGCCTGCGGTCCCCTCCCCCACCGCTCCACTCAGGGTCCGCCCACCCATCCTTCCTCTCCCAGACCCCAGCCCGCCTCACCTGCTCCCCGCCCTCCGGCCCCGCGGTCCCGGTCAGCTCCTCTAGGCGCTGCCTCCCGGGTGGCGCTCGCCGGCGCGAGGGCAGAGGCTGGGGCTGGGACAGCTCGGCCGCCCGTTGAGCCCCGTCCTCCCGACGGGCAGGCGGCGGTAGCTGCGGTCTTTCGCGGCAGCGGCTCCGCTTCATATCTGCGGCTGGGCCCCGCGGGCTTCAGCACCACGACTGTGACTGTGCCGGCCTCCCACGGCCCCGGGCCGCAGCGCCGCCGCGGTAACCACCGTCCGCGGCAACCATGGCCGGGCGGACGCCCGCAGCCACTGACCCCCACCCGCAGCGCCTCCGGGGGACTGAGCGCCGCGACCCGCTCGACGCTCCTCACAGAGACGGTGGCATCTCCGACACCTCCTCGTCTACCGCAAGGCACACGCTCAGCCGGCCACCCGCAGCTGCTGCAGCCAGCCGCCTGCCCTCCAGCCTCTGGCCGGCCCCGCCCCTCGCGCGCGCACACGGGACGCCTGCCCGCCACCTCCAAACGCGCGCGGCGTCCCGCGCACGCGCCAGCAAACGGTTGCTGAAGACCCGCCCGGGCCTGGCCGAGCCGCCTGGGCAGCGGAAGGGGGCGGGGCTCCCGCGGCTGCAGACGCTCCTTGATTCTTTCATTCATCCGTTCACTGAGCCGTGTGCCGGGCCAAGCTCAGCGACAGGGATCAGATCCATGACACAATTAACCAGAGTAGTTGATCCATGCCAACCCTCACCTAATTCTACATCACACTTGGGAGGCAAGTCTGCGTTGAAGTGAAACGCGTAGGTCGTCCAACAAATCAATGATCAAACTAAACAGGGCTCAAATTCTGCCTCTTCTGTCCCATTTCCCCTGTTCACTGTTTGCTGCTCCTTTCAGACCATAAAACATTGTGGGAGGTCCTGTGAAAAAGAGGAGTGATGGATTCCTTGGGGGTGGGGGAGACAACAACAACAACAACAAAGGCTTCCGGAGCAACCGTCAAGATTCTCCACTGACGATGAAGTAGCCCACTCTAGCCTGCCGCTTCCGATGACTCATCCTCTCCCTGACATGTGGCAGCAACTCAGCACTGCCTCGCCTCCCTCTGGCTTTAGCCTTCTGCCACAATGCTGTATTTTTCCTCTTTGACCTAACCAGAGTTGATTCCCACAGCTTTTCCTGAAGGTTTCACCCTCTTCGTCCTCAACTTCCTCTCTAAAACCTTTCTGCAGATAATAGCTAGGATGGTGGAGTGCTGCTGGATACCAGACACTGCATTCAATTCCCATCCACGCGAACAAGACATAAATTGCATTAGTACTTCCATTTACGTTGAATCAGGCTAAGTTACCTAACCCTCTCAGTATCACAGGGCTAAAAAGTGCAGAGCAAGGATTCCAACCAAGGTCAGTCGGTCAGATACCAGAGCTCACACATAGCACAGCGCTTGACAGCCTGCTCCTGCATTCTCTCTCCCCATCTAGTTGCCTCAAGCCGGAACTTCAAGACGTCCTTGGCTCCTTCCTGCTTCTCCCTCCCTCACTTCCAATTAATGAACAAGTTTTGTTACTTCTGTAACCTCACTATCTCTTCAGTCTGCCTCCTCTTTCCATCTCATTGGCCCCACCTTGTCAAGTCTTACCTTCCCGAATCTACTTGACTGGGAAAGCCTTTCAGTTGGCTCACCTGCATCCAGTCTCATTCTCTTTGAAATCATCCTCCAAAAAGCTTGCACAAGAATCTTCATATGCTCGGGTAAGGTGATTCATGCCCACAATCCCAGCACTCTGGCAGGCTGAGGTAAGAGGATCAAGAATTTGACCTTAGCCAGGACTTAGTGACTTAGCAAGATCATGTCTCTAAATAAATAAATAAATAATAAACTGGACCTGATGGCACACTCCCATAATCCCAGCACTCGGGAGGCTGGGATCACCATGAGTTCAAAGCTAGCCGGAGCTATATAGCAAGACCCTGTCTCAAAAAACAAAATACCATGTACAGGTACAAATTCCCAATTATGAATGTGATCATAATGTATAACTAAAATGTACCAATAAACTTAATGAAAAAAACCAAAACAAACAAATAATAAATAGGAGTGCTGGGGAGGCAGCTCAGTGTGAAGGCCCTGGATTCAAGACCCAGTACTGGAAAAAAATCTTCATAGATGTATCATTCCCTTGTTTAAAACACTTAAATGAGTCTCAAGATGAAGTGTAAGCTTATTATGGCCCATCTAAAATCTGATCTCAGCCTACCTCTCTCTTATTAACCCATGATGTGACAACTGCTTAGAGTTATACCATCTATGCATGTATACAGGGCCTGCCACATTCTTGGTTACAAGCAAGGGAAATACACTCAGACCATTTTAAGCCTAAGGCGAGAATGTTTTGCAAGGCTACTTAGAAGGGATCACAGAACCAAACAGAGATTAGAGATTAGAGAAACAGGAAACAAGGAGCCTTCAGAAACCTCCCATCTGCAACAATCTCAGGACATGCTGTCACCACCACCAGACAATGTACTACACTGCTGCTACTCACCCCTGCAAAGGAATTCTAACCTTTGCTTCATAACTGCATGACCAAGAGCCAGGGATTTAGCTCAGTGGTCCCGGCGCCTGCTTTGCAAGCGCAAAGTCCCGGGTTCAATCCCCAGTATCAAAAAGAAAAAAACAAAAACAAAATAACTGCATGACCATTCCAGACTCAGTGTCTAGAAAGAGGATCTACTAACTCAATCTTGATAATTTAAGGACCAGAACCCCATTCTACCTTCTCATCTTCTACTATTGTGACTGGCAGACAGACTCTAAGTCAACCCTCGTAATCTGCCCACTCTTTAGTATTTAAACCTTTGTGTAATCCTTTCCCCTTAAGTGTAAGTGGTACCTCTGACTTGTTTCTGACCAATAAAATATACCAAAGCCAATGTAATATCACCTCTGTGATTATACTGCATCATAAGAAACTATGTCTTGTCACAAAACTCACCCTCACGTTTGTAATGGCCTTGAAGGAACAAGCATCACATTCTGAATTCAGTGCCTATGGAGAGGGTCATGTAGCTGGAAACTAGGCAACTTCAGGAGCTAAGAGCAGCATCTGGCCTGAGAGCCAGCAAAACAAACAAACAAAACAAAACCTGACATACTCAGTCCACAAGGAAAGTGATCCCACCAACAAGGAAAGTGCACTTGGAAAATAGGAACTTCTCTAGCAGAGTTTCCAGGTGAAACGACAGCCCAGCTGATACCGTACAGAAGTCTGTGAGATCCTGAAGTAGAGAACCCAGCTAACCCAGACCTGGATCCCTGACCTACAGAAACTGAGATAAAAGTGTTTTAGTAAATGGTTAAGTTTATGGTATTAATAAATTTATATTACATAGTAATAGAAAATTAACATGAGTGAAGCAATAACATCTGCTTATACCAGCCCTGAGTACTAGCTACTCTGGAGGCTGAGGTAGAAAGATTGCTTGAGCCAAAGAATTTGAGGCCAGTCTGGGCAACACAGTGAGACCTCAGCTCAAAAAACAAAGCAAAACAAAACAAATTAACACAGGCTGACACTCACTTTTTCAGGCTCATAACAGTTATATGACACAATCTGGCCCAAATCCACTTCTACTAGTCTTCCCCAGCTCAATAAATGAATAACAAGATGATTTTTCAGTTCAGGACAAAACATCAGAGTGATCCTTGAGTCCTCTCTTTCTCACAAACTTCACATTCACTCCACTGCTAAATCCTATGCAAATTAGTAAGACATTATAATCAGCTGGGAGAGAGGTGAGGGTGACTAGCACTAACACAATGATAGTGAGCATGGAAGAAAGTGGGTGGATTTTAGAGATGAGGTTACCTCCCAATCATTTTATGACATTTTCAATTATAATGAGTTTATCAGGAGCCAATTCCATCATAAGTTGAAGAATATATTAGGAGATAGGGCCTCTAAGGAAGTAAAGTTAAATAAAGTCATAAGGTTAGGACCTTAAGCCTAAAAAGATTAATGTCTTTATAAGCAAAAACTCAAAAGGACTCACTCTCCTGAAGTGAATGAAGACGTGAAAAGTTGGCCATCTACAAGAAAGCAAGAAATCAAATTGGCTTGATCTTGGACTTCCTGACTCCAGGACTGTGACAAAATAAATTTCTGTTATTTAAGCCACCCAGTCTATGGTATTTTGTTTTGGCTTCCTGAACTGATTAATACAAACCACATAATATTCCTTTCAAGGAAAGATCCTTCCAGTCAAACAGAAAAATAATTTTTTTGAAGGAAGACAAGTCCATTCCCTCAGTGCTAAACTCAGTCAAGGATGCTCGGGCCAGAATTCCCACAAATGAATCTTCTAGTCCTCTACCCTTTCAGATCCTATACATAGCACAGTCACGGGAAAATAGAAAACCCTGGGACAAATTCCCCAAGGAGCCTGTATCCTGGGGACCATCAACACTTCCTCTTAAATGCTCAGTATAGAGGGTATAATTATGCTCCTTTTCTCTAGGCAATGATTTCTTGCTAATCCTCCTAAGGGAAGTTATCCTCAGTGTTTGTAGGAGGCTGGAGAATCTACACATACCTTCCTGGAGTAGGCTGTTTTCAGTGATTCCAACATGCTCTACTCTTCTAAGACTCCTAACTTACTTCCTAAGTTAATTCAATAGCTTCTGGGAAACCTACATATAAGTTAGGATCCCATCCTTGTCCAATTAGCAATGTCTAGGAGTTGGGAAGTTGGTGTCATGTGGTACATAACACGTTTGTCTAGGACTGCTCCTTGGCAGAAGAATGGGGTGGGAGTTTTCCTTATGAGGTTAAAGGGAGATGGTAGATTGTCTGGAACCATGAGTAACATATCTTGGATGAGTACATTGCAGAAGATTAAAAGGGAAGACCAAAAGCTACTTAGGAGTCCATAACAAAAGAATAAATAAAAGACAACTAGGTACTTGTCAGTCTTATAGTAGAAGGGCTAGAGAGGAAATAACAGGCAAAATATTAAAGATGCAAAACCTATAGAACTTGATCAATATCCAGATACATGAAATTAGCAAATGGGAAGTATCAGGGATGATCCTGAGGGTTCTGGCTTAAATAGCCACAAGAATGGAGATACCCATCATTGTCTTAAGGAATATTGAAGGAAGCATAAGTATCATTCATTCACTCAATTTTTTCTTTTTTTGGTTTTATGAGACAGGACTTTGCTATGTAGTCCAAGCTGGCTTTGAACTCACTATGTAGCTGGCCTCCAACTTGCAGCTATCCTCCTGCCTCAGCCTCCTGAGTACTGGGATTACAGGCGTGTGCCACCAAGCCCAGCAATTACTTTTTAAAGTCCAGGATACTTAAAAAACCTTGAAGGAGCAACATCAGACCACCTGAGAATTTGTTAGAAATACAAATTCGGCAGTCCTCCTGCCTCTTCTAGACTGCTGGAATTACAGGCATGCCGC